TTTGCTTTTGGTCTAAATTTTCTGTGCCATATGGAATCAATTTTGTTAATTTATCTTTTTCTAGAAAATGATCAATTTTACTGAGATTTCATCCAAAAAAAAAAGTATAGTCTAACAATTTTTAAAATCTCTTCTTTTTTCTTTTTTTGGTAATTTTTGTTGAAAAATTTTAATCCCTTCTGTTTCTGAGATTAATATTCCCTATATTATTAATTGGTTTGTGTTTTCTCCTTTTCTTGATTATTTGAAATTGCATATTAAATTGGGGGAGAAAGTCTAGTAATGTGGAAGAGGCTGGATGCTACAAAACCGAAATAAAGATTTTTTTTGTTTTTAAATTTTCCATTTCCATCCAGCTTTGCTTTCTTTTCGCCTTATCCCACTCCAGCCTTTAAAGAGCCTTACAAGTAATTTGCCAAGTTCCCTATTTCTCCAGGGCCTAGAGAGGACATCTCCCTATCCAAAGTCACACCATTAGCAAGTGACAGAGCCAGGAGAAGGCAGGCCCCCAGCTTCCTTCTTTCCCCTCCTTTTGTTCTCTTTCCATTATATCTTAGCTAATGTCAAAAACAACAAATTAACAGAAACAGCAAAGAAAGCTTACAGCTACTTCATTTGAAAAGATTGATAAAGTCAGCTGACAATGTTGATTATAATTACTCTAACCCATACAATTTCTCATAGAAATCATCTTCTATTGTGATCATGTTTTAAACCGTTCTTTCTAGAATAAACCTATGCAAAGAAAGCGTGGTGTCTGGCAGGAAAGTGGAATCTTTTCATTATCCCTCTTGATGTTACACTGTACCTGTTGGAAAGACCATGAGAAAGTTCCTGTATCAGTGAAAGAGGGAAACTTAATAAAATGGAATCCAGCCTTACCTACAAGTCTGAAACAAACAGAAGAAATGCTTTTAGCACTGGGATGTAATGGGGTCTTTTCTGTTGGGGGAGGAGAAATAGGGTTTTACTCTGTCACCCAGGCTCTTCTCAAACTCCTAGTAGTGATCCTCACTCTCCCAAAGTGCTGGGATTACAAGCATGAGCCACCGTGCCCGGCCTGATGTTTGGTTTTGAGGTGCTTGGAAGGGCACTACATTAGTGTGGGGTCTGGGTGTCAAAATTCAACACAGTGGAAGAGGACAGGACCATCCCTACCTCAAGGATGGAACGAGGCATACCACACTCACATAGTCCACGCACTTTTTCTCAACATAATTACCTTAAATTGCCCATTTCCTGGTTATTTGGTGTGTGTGTGTGTGTGTGTGTGTACAAATGAGCAGATGTCTCTGCTGATTGTCTGATCAGCAATCTGTAATTAGACCCCAAGGAACAACCTGCTCGTTGTGGTTGGGGCCACTAGCCAGTTAAATAATGACATCTGTCATAATTTTCATACGTCATCCTGTCCTGGGTCTTATCTCCAAACTGCACTCAGAACAAACGCCTACGTTTTCTAAAACAGACCAATCCAGTTTGTAATAGTTGTAGTCCCCATCATGGTGGAGGATTTTAGGGTTGAACAATATCTAATAACTACTGAGTGCCTCCTCTGTGCCTGGAATCGTATAAAGGTCTTTACAAACAGTGTGAGTCACTGAGCCCGTGCAAGAACTCTGTGAGGTAGGAAACTATTCTTCTTCTCATTTTATAGATACAGAAATTATTATACTGAGACACTGAGTTCAATAATTCACATCTGGAAGGGAACAGAACTGAAATTACTATTTAAGACTGTTGCTCGTCCATACTATTTACTCTTTTCATTTGGACTGGCTGCTGTGTGTCATTTGGCTGCTAAGGGAGACAAGGTCTTACTCTGACACCCAGGCTCTTCTCAAACTCCCGGCCTCAGTGATCCATCCACCTTGCTCTCCCAAAGTATATGCCCTGAGTGTGTGCTCAGAATATATTAAAATGTGGAAAAAAGTGTAGACAATCTAGTTTTGTATAAGGGGAGCCAAATTAAGATAATAATCTTAAAATAATGAAACATTTATAAAATTCAGTGATTCTCAACTAGGAGCAAACCCTCCTACCTCAGGGAGCCTTTGGAAATGTGTGGGGTCATTTAGGGTGCTTTTGGCTGTTATATTGGCCTGTTACACTGGGGGGGGGGTCATTCAGGGGGCTCCATGACCTACCATCTGCAAAACAATTTTAGACAATAGGGACTCCTTGTCTGGCTCCAAATGTCAGATACTACTGAGAAACACTGATCAAGTGCAATGGTAGGAATTTGAAATGATACTGTAAAACTCAAAGGTGGCAAACTTAAATGCCTTTAGGGATTAGTCAGGAAGTGATGATCATGTCCCATTTTAGGGGCATAAAATTCAAATCGCTAAAGCACTTCATCAAGCAAAAATTAGGTGTCAAATGTGGCCTTGTGGATCGCCAGGTTTGAGCCTTTTAATGAGGGTTTTTCTGACTAAAAAACATGTTTATGATATATTAAGAGAAAAAAAGCTAATAATCTCTATGATTCCCTGTTTTAAAGACATTGTCTCTGTGTATACACATATCCGCATATATGTATACACTTATATTCATGAAAATATTTAGAAAATTTTCTGGAAGGATATGGATAAGATTTGGGATGGGTTTTTCTTGGATACAGTATCTCACTCCATCACCCAGACTGGAGTGGAGCAGTATGATCACGGCTCACCGCAGCCTCAACCTGGACTCGGGTGATCCTCCCACCTCGGCCATCCAAGTAGCTGGGACTATAGGCATGTGCCAGGCAAGCCCAGCTAACTTTTTTGTATCTTTTGTAGAGATGGGGTCTTGCTACTTTACCCTGGCTGGTCTTGACCTCCTGGACTCAAACAATCCACCCGCCTCAGCATCCCAAAGTGCTGGGGTTATAGTTGTGAGCCGCTGCGCCTGGCAAAATTTGGGGTGATTTTCTAAAACGCTTTCCTCATTCATATTTTTAATTCTTTGACTACAAATGTCTGCTAGTTGTGTACTTTTGAATAAATAAAGTAGAAGAGGAGCCTTAAAAACTTAAAAGCTTTGAGTGTAGTATTAGAATACAGCCCAGGCGACCTACTGGCCACCCCCCTCAAGGGCAGAATTGTGTCTGTGATTAAGTGTCCCGACCTGCAGGACGACAACAAGGGCCCGAAGGGAGGGAGTGGGGATGGATGGGCAGGAGACGCGAGAAATGGAGACAAGACAGGAATCTGATCAAGTCTCTTTTATTGTTGCTGAGCTCACAGCTTAAATAGACCAGGCAGGGAGGCGGGGCAAAGGAAGCTTGCAATTGAAAAATTCCGGCCTGGTGTGCCTCGTGCCGCTACCAGCCTCGTGCTGCCTCGTGCCGTCCACGGGCTGGACCTGAATCATCAGGACTTGAGCCTTCCACAAGTGGCACCTGGGCTCTCTTGACCCCAGGATTTGGCCTGCTGCTCACAGCTTCCCACAAGCGGCACCTGGGCTCTCTTGGCCCCAGGATTTGGCCTGTGCCGCTCCCCACAATTAAGGACAAATGAGACATTCAATATCAACAGTCGACACCATTGTTGCTTTCTCAAACACGCTGGTCTAGCTTCTAGTCCCTTTCCACACTTTTCATTTCTACTGTACATACAATACTGTAAAGCTCTTCTGGTAAAACCCAGCCTTCCTTGTGCAGCTGTCCTGAGAGGGATCTTGAAGAGCCTGAGATGAGGCTTGAGCAATCAGGATCTGTGCTGAATTTTATCTTAGGGGGTCTTATCCAACATTAAATAAGAGCAGGACATTTTCAGTACAGCTCTGCCCCTTTTTCAATCAAGTCACCAAAACCTTCAAGATCATTGTTTTTTCTGAAAAATCCCCGTTTTGCTTTATTGCAATCATGTCTGTGTTTTCTTTCCAGTGTGTTGGCTCCACACTTTTTATTTTGTGCACAAGTTCCCCCGCACCCCCCCTTTTTTTTTGAGACAGGGTCTTGCTCTGTTATCCAGGCTGGAGTGCAGTGGCACCATCTCAGTTCACTGAAGTCTCAGCCTCCTGGGCTCAATCGATCCTCCCACCTCAGCCTCCTGAGTAGCTGGGACCACAGGCAAAAGCCACCACACCTGGCTAATTTTTGTATTTTTAGTAGAGACAAGGCTTACTATGTTGCCCAGGCTGGTCAGGAACTCCTAGGCTCAAGTGATCTGCCCACTTCGGCCTCCAAAAGTGCTGGGATTACAGGGGCAAGCCGTCCTGCCTGGCCGAGTCACTTCGGGCTGAGCTTCCTTTGTGGAGTTTGCTGATCACTCGGCAATACTGGATTTTCTATCCATTTGTCTAAGGACTCTGGGGAGGTGAGAAACAGGAAATTTACTGGAGTCTTTTCTGGCTTGCTGCCTGGGTCGGTCCCCAGGGTCCCTCCTTCATGTCTCCCTGCAGCCCTCCTTACCAGCAGCTAGTCACAGCTCTCCTACAGAAAGAACCCAGAAGTCCTGCTGCTAACAAGGTGACATGTGGTGCTTCTTGGCACTGCAGGGGTGGGTGCAGGGAGGAATGGAGAGAGGGCTCCAGCATAGACAGGAAACAGAATTCTCCCATCTAGAAAACCGCTGCTTTTCACCCCCAGCCTACCCCTTTCACATGCTGAAGCTATACCAAATGAGGAACTCATGTCTGGATTCTGAATCCACTTTTATAAACCAAATTAAACAGAAATCTCTGGGAGTGAAAATGTTAAGTGTACTTTGCTCATTAAGGCCCTTTAGGAGAAGCGTCTAGAATGTATCCTGCGGGAAAGTGGGGACTGATGCAAGTATGATGAGTAAATTGGGCATGTGTCCCAGTGTCGGACCTCCCTCCAAAGAAGTCATTCCCAAAGGTTAGCTCCTTGCCACTGCATTTGAAGGGTGTTGGATAGGCGGTGCTATTTTCTCTCCTGAGATTTCCAAGTGGCAAACCCCTGCAGCCCTGGAGAGTTGGGGAGGGCGAACCCTGAACCCTCCCTCCCCTTTGGAATGCCCAAATGTCACTCAAAAACCTACCTCTTGCAGATCTCCAGGAGAACCCTGCCGGTGGCACTGCTGAGAGACAAGGTCCCAGGGTGGTTCCTGAAAGTGCCTGAGCCCCAACTTATGAGCAAGGAGCTTGTCATGCTGACAAAGTGAGTGAGCCCAGGAAAAGCAGGAGCAGGGTTCCCTCCAGGCTGATTGGCAGAGCTGGCTTCCAAGCACACATACCACCCTTCCGGGCTGTCCCAGCCTTAACGTCCGGAAAGGCAAAGGGACCTACCCTGGGATGCGCAGCAATGCCAGATGTCTGCCTCCAGTGGGGACAGGAGAGATTTGCAGTTGCAGTCACGACCCTGCAGTCTCTGACTTTGCCCCTTTTCCTTTCCCAACAGAGTCATGGAGCTCTGGCACGGCTTAGTGATCGCGGCGGTGTCCTTCTTCCTGCAGGCCTGCCTCCTGGTCGCCTTCAACTACCTGCTCAGCAGGCACATGGGTAACCGGCCCAGTGTCCTCTTCCCTCCTGGTCACTCTCAGAGCCTGCAGCAGGACAGGACCCCTTTGGAATGGCCAAATGTCACTCAAAAACCTACCAGAGGACCCTCCAACCAAATCCTTTCCCCCTTTCATCCCCCACCCCAACTGTAACTGGGTAATCCCCACTCTGACCTCACCTTTTATCCGGTGATTTCTGGCTGGAAGTGACCACCCACATGCTTCCACTACCCAGACCTTCCGCCTAGACACAGCTTCTGCAACGCCTGTGAGGAAATGTCCGTGTCACCTGGGTCTAATTAATTTTCTTCATCACTGCCAAGGGACTGAACATGAAGAAATGGCCTTGAATTACAACAGAAGGCAATATGGTTGGACTCAGAAATTAGTTTAAATTCTTGAACTGACTTACAATAGAAGGAAGTGAATCTCGGTCCTGGAAAGGCATTTCAATTAGGGAAAATAAAATAATACTGCTTAGTGGTGCTAAGAGAAAGGATCGGGCAAGATGATGTTTTGAGGGTCTTCCTAGTTAAGTCTAGCTTTATTCATTCCTTTGTTCATTCATTCATTCAACAGATATTTCTTGAGCATCTAAGACACTCTCTGGGCCTAGGCTGTACAATGGGAAACAAAACAAAAGTTCCTACCCTCTGAATCTTTCATTCCACGTGGCAACAAACAAGATAAGCAAGTAAAACATGTGTATGCTAGGTTATGGCAAGTGGTAGGGAGGAAAAATGGAGCAAGGAAGCAGATACGGCTTGGTGGATGCCGGGCAGCCCCGAGATGCTAACCTTTGAGTCTAAACTTACAGGCAGTGAGGAGTGAACTCTACCTGCAACAGGCCTGAAGGAGGACCTTGTTAGGCACACACTAGTAAGAGCAAAGAGGCAGGGCAGCTGGAGCGGGCAGAGAGAAGCAGGAGAAAGTCAGAGAGGAGGGAGGAGGGAGGCCTCGGAGGCTGGGACTTGGCTTTTTCCAAGTGGGGCACAGAGCCGCTAGAGGGTTTTGAGCACAGCAGTGCTGAGATTCGAAAGGATCTTTCTGAAAGGTTTGCCATACTGAGGGCGTGTTCAGCAGGTACTGATTCCAGAGCCAATGTGCCCAACCCAGGCAGCTTCCACTTTTTTTCTTTTGAGATGAAGTCACACTCTTTCCCCCAGGCTGGAGTGCAGTAGTAGCACAATCTCGACTCACTGCAACCTCTGCCTCCCAGGTTCAAGTGATTCTCTTGTCTCAGCCTCCAGAGCAGCTGGGATTACAGGCGCACGTCACCACACCCACCCAGCTCATTTCTGCGTTTTTAGTGGAAATGCATTTTCACCATGTTGACCAGGCTGGTCTCAAACTTCTGACCTCAAGTGATCTGTCCACCTTAGCTTCCCAAAGTGCTGGGATTACAGGGGTAAGCTACTGCCCCCTACTCCCCTGCCAGCTTCCACTTTTGACCCCTGCCCTCTCCTCTCTAGCCCACCAGAGTGAACAGATACTGAAAGCGACCAGGCTCCCGGTCCCCAGGCCCAGCCCTGTCCACCATCATCTACCTGCTGCCAAAGAGATGGAGACTCAGACAGAGATAGATGCCCTAATGTCTGATCCCTGTTACCGGCGTGAGTAAGGGGTTATGGGGAGAACTTGTCTCGGGGCTTGCTTTGCTCTGTCTGGACACCCAGGACCTCCCTGCGGCAACCCTGGGGGCCCAAACCTCTAGCCTGAGGATTCCTTCCATCCTCATAAGGACAGGCCTTGTCATCCTACTTTTTTCAGAAAGGTGTTTTATTCTATTTCATGGGGAAGATCCTGCTGGGTTGGTATGGATCTAACTTCTTTCCTGGGTTTAGTCGTGTGCAAATGATTGCAGGGGCCTTGGGAAATGTCCCTGCTCTTCTCTTTGTATAGCCATGGCATCTTTTCTTCTGCTTGATCGGCTAATGGTGGAGTTAGAATTTCACCTGCCTCTGCCTGCTTCCACCACAGCTGCTGCTAGGTCACGGTTCTCGGCTGGCTCCGGAGCTGGCTCTCCACAGTCCCCAGAGGGACCCTTCTTTGTGATCTTAGATCTGCATGGGTCACTGAGTGTATAAATGTGAGTCTTGCTGCTGGTTCAAGTCTATATCACCCTTCCTCAAGTGAGCCAATAGGTCACTATTCACAGCGGAAATGGCTGCTTTCGCAGCAAGACATCTCCCTGATGGGGGCTCACTCACCAGAGATTACACTTTTTCCACTGGTTTATCTCTTGATTGGTTTAAATTTGCTCTGTCCAGACTTTATCTTTTCAGTTGAGGCATAGCTTCAGTTGCCTGCCTGTGGGGACCCGAGGGAGCCGCTCATATGCATGCAGTGTTTCAGCAGAACAGAGAGGAACTGGCCTTACCCTAACCCCTGGCCCCAAAGCTTCACCAGAGCCTAGCTAGAGTCAGAGATTGTTTAGCTGACAGGGACCTCAGAGACCATTGCTCAACCCTCTTGTCTTTCGGGGAATGAAAACCAGGACACAAAAAGAGATGTGATCGGCCTAGATTTAGTGACAGCTTAGGACTAGGTGTGACTTCTGAGGCCAGAGCTGTTTGCATTGGGCCACATTGTCCCAGCGTGTCCCTCCTAACTTTTCTTTCTGGAAGACAGCCCTTTCCAAGCACAGTCAACCTAGTGTATTTTTTAAAATTAGTTTTGGATGGAGTTGAATGAAGCAGCAGTGCCTGGACTCCTGGACATGTCCCTGCCTATTTTTGGAGACTTTCTCTCCCCCGACTCTTTCCCTATTCTATTTCTCCTTCTTACTCTTTTGGGGCATCTGTATCTCTCTTTCCCTATCCCCTTTGTGTTGCTGGCTCTGCCTTTGTCTTTATCTGGTAATAAGACAATTCTTGCTTCCATTGTCTCTATTCTCTCTTAACAACCACTAACTTGCTTTGGAAGAGAAACCACGTCTATTTCTCCCCAGATGACAGCGACACATCCTCAGATCGCTCAGATGGTTCCTGCAGTTCGCCTCCTGTCTGCCAGGTAATGGATGTGCCTAGTGATCACAGACCAACATATGCAGTCTGAGGTTTCTTGCTGTAAAACGCTGAGAACTCAGGTTACACCAGCTATGGAGTGGGAGCCAGAAAGGAGGGCTTCTTGAGTCATTATAGCATCCTTAGGTGAGGGGTCAGGCCTCCACCCACAACCCATATGAGCGTGGATCAGCCAAACAGAGCGGGTCTGAACAGACTATGAAAATGAAAGTGCTAATGGGAAACCTTCTCCCCAAACCCAGTCACTGGCTAAAGTCTGCTCTGAGTCCTGACCTCACTTGAATTGAGTCTCAGCATTTTATCTTCCTGTTGCCTCCACCTGCTCGTCTGTAAGCCCGTTCCTTGCAGACAGGTGGAACAAAGTCACTGGTAATCTTCCTCATTGCCCTGGATGGCTCTCAGACACATCTGCTTGGACCCAGATCCTTTTACACCAAGCTGTGGGCAAAACTCTTTGAGTGAGAGTTCAGTCCTGGGGTCTTATTTCCTCCAAACGTGGTAGGGATATTGACCTACATGTCTCTGCTTTTCTCCTAAGGCCACCAACCATGTGGATTACACACAAATCATCTTTTCGGCTCCTGGAGAACTAAAAGATGACTCTGCCCTGGACTATGAGAACATAAAGGAAGTCACAGATTATGTCAATGTCAATCCAAAAAGCCACAAGCCCAATTTCTGGAATTTTGTCAACCCTGCTCTGTCTGAGCCAGTGGAATACAGTCAAGTGGCCTTGTGAATTCCGGATGTTTTTAATGGGGTTCAGTTCTCTATGGAGTCTTACATTTGATTTGTAGAGGAATGCCATTTTCCCCCCTTAAACAAAGCATGGGGCTCCCAAGGCTATGGAGACAGGCCAAAAAGAATGTGGAGAAGAAAACTGACAATACACAGAAGTCCTCAGCACCCATGGACTCCCGGTCTGTACTCAATAAAGGTTGTTCATTCTTCAAAAACCCAAAACAAGGCTTGGGTGGGAAAACAGGCCTATGCCCCGGCAAGAAAGATTCAGATCAGATGGATGTTAGGAGGAACTTTCAGTTAAAATATGAGAACTGTGGAGTCTATCTGCAGAGACAGTGGTGAAGTCTCTCCCCAAGGAAAATTTTAAAAAGTTTAATCAGCTGTGGTTGAGTTCTATTTGGCAAACTCATGGTTAAATGACTTATCTTTGAGCTCTTTAATTATTGGCAATAAACAACTTCTTTAAAAGTTTAAATAAAATAGCAACTACCACCAGTTCCTCTTTTCCTGCTGCCTAACGCCGCAGCTATTCTTGTTTTCAGTGATATATTTTGCTGAGTAATCCTCCTCGGCCCTCAGAACTTTAAACAGTGTATTTACAAAGCCCACCATCAATCAGCCTCTGAATTTGCTGTTTCTTACAAGCCAAAGATGACAAATGGAATTCTCGTAAATAACAACCAGCATCATAATCTCTTATTCCAAGAAAAATCTCCCAAAACTCAATATAATAAAATTCAAGATTCATTCCTGTTTTTTTTTTTAAGCAATTAGGAATACAGGGACACTTTCTAACTCAATTATTATCTCAAATCAGGAGATTACATAATATTTAACTGTAAGCTCCTAGACACTATCCTATTAAGTTAGAAACAAAGTAGGAATGTCTACAAGCCTGGCATTTCCTTTGTTATGTAACGTGGTTCTAGAAGTTTTAATCAGTGTCATAAAACAGTTAACAAAAATATGAACTATAAAAAAGTTAGAGCCACGGTGGAGCATGCCTGTAATCTTAGCACTTTGAGAGGCTGAAGCAGGTGAATCCCTTGAGGTCAGGAATTTGAGACCAGCCTGGCCAACATGGTGAAACCCTGTCTCTACTAAAAATACAAAAATTAGCTGGGCATGCTGGCGGGCACCTGGAATCCCAGCTACTCAGGAGGCTGAGGCAGGAGAATCACTTGAACCCAGGAGGCAGAGGCTGCAGTGAGCCCAGATCACGGCGCTGCACTCCAGCCTGGGTGACAGAGCAAGACTCTGTCTCAAAAAATATATATGTATTAGAAATGAGGAAAAATTGTCATCCTTTGCAGATATCCTAGCCCTAGAAAACTACAAAGAATTAAAATGCTTTAAAATTGATAACATGCAATAACCAGTAACTAGAGAAATATTTTTTTCAACAGCTAATTAAGACAAGTGAAGTGAGCCGGGCTCGGTGGCTCAAGCCTGTAATCCCAGCACTTTGGGAGGCTGAGGCGGGTGGATCACGAGGTCAAGAGATCGAGACCATCCTGGTCAACATGGTGAAACCCCGTCTCTACTAAAAATACAAAAAAATTAGGCTGGGCATGGTGGCGCGTGCCTGTAATCCCAGCTACTCAGGAGGCTGAGGCAGGAGAATTGCCTGAACCCAGGAGGCGGAAGTTGCGGTGAGCCAAGATTGCGCCATTGCACTCCAGCCTGGGTAACAAGAGCGAAACTCCGTCTCAAAAAAAAAAAAAAAAAAAAAAAAAAAAAAAAAAAAAAAAAGACAATGAAGTGAAAAGAAATTTTGCTCATAGTAGCTAAACAGACATGCCCCAAAACCTGAAACCCTAGGGTCACTCCTAGCCAAATTCAAACCCCAGATCAGTGGCATTCAGGATCTCAGACACCTGAGATCTATTATTAATTGTGCTCCATCTGCTGGCTGTGGATGACCCTCCCAGCCCTGGCACTGAGAGCAGTAGACAGGCTTTCCTCCTCCTGAGTTCTTCCCCAGGATGATCTAAGGGCATGATTCCGGTTTGGGTTTCTGGGGTTGGAACATGTTGCTGTTCTGTTTGTCCCTTCACCTTTAGCTACCATAGGTCGTTCCTCTCCTTACAACGCTTTTCTTAATGAGTTACAGGAGAGTCTACTGATAAGACAGGCAGAATGAGGAATAAATACCGACAATAATATCAGCAACATTGTCCTATCAAGAAGTGAAACTCTGCTTCTTATTGATTTCTTCTATTATATTTATTTATAGAGACAGGGTCTCACTCTGTCACTCAAGCAGGAATATGACCGTGGCTCAGTATAACCTCAAATTCCTGGGCTCAAGTGATCCTCCTGCCAAAGCCTCTCAAGTAGCTACGACTACAGGTGCATGCCATCATGCCCAGCTAATTTAAATTGTTTTTTGTAGAGGGGGTCTCACTATGCTGCCCAGGCTGCTCTTGAACTCCTGACCTCAAGTGATCCTCCTAACTCAGCCTCCCAAAGCACTGGGATTAGGCATGATCTACTGCACCTGGCCTGATCTCTTTTAAAAAGGGGGGGAAAAAAAAGACCGGGCACAGTGGCTCATGCTCGTAATCTTAGTACTTTGGGAGGCTGAGGCGGGCTGATCATTTGAGGTCAGGAGTTCAAGACCAGCCTGGCCAACAGGGTGAAACCCACCTCTACTAAAAATACAAAAATTAACTGGTTGTGGTGGCTCATGCCTGTAATCCCAGCTACTTGGGAGACTGAGGCAGGAGAATGGCTTGAACCTGGGAGGCAGAGGTTGCAGTGAGCTGAGATTGTACCATTGCAGTCCAGCCTGGGCGACAGAGCAAGACTTCATCGTTAAAAAAAAAAAAAAAAAAAAAAAAAAATTCAAGAGTATGCTGAAGCAATTCGGGCAAGTTACAGTGCACCCAAGAGACACTGCGAGGACACTGCTGAGACAGTTTCCACCAGGAGAGGGGACAAGAGGGTAAACAGAGTGCCTGCTTTCTGCAGAATTCTGGGACAGGCCTTGAGTGTTGAGAGGAGAGATCAATAAAAAGAAGCTTTAATCATCTGGGCTTATCAAGGCAGTCAAGGCATCTATGACCTAACTGTAGGGACAGGAAAGAGCCAGAGAACATGTACAAAACAACACGTAACAAACAGCACAAAGCAATGAAACCAGAGCCTATCAATGTTCATATGGATCGGGGAACAGGGTGTTAGAATCAGGAAGCCTTAATCAGAAAACATCCCAGAAAGAGGTGATTTCTGACCTCAGCTTAGAAAAGAAGGTGGCAAATCAACTGACGGGAGAAAAGGCAGAGGGAAAGGAACAGATCCGACCTGCTGCAGGCTCTCAATAAATGCCTGAGGGACGGCTCTGAGAGGAACTGTCTGGAGAGCTGTCCCAGTCTGGGCTCAGAGGCTGCTGTGATGCTCTGGAGCAGGGAGTTGGTGTCAGGGGGACCAGAGGCTGTAGAATGACCACAGACCATCTGATGAAGCTCTATAATAAACTGCTTCAGAAATATGACATTTTGTAGGGTCCAACCCTACTAGGATCGTGGAGTGTCCCTTATCGCTGTGCTGGGGTACTGGATCCAAGAAATAAGGAGACAAAACGCCAAAGGACTGGATAAGAGCAGCTGGGCTCGGGGGCCAATGGCACTTACAAGCGGAGACAGGCGAGGCCCCGAGTGTCCAGGCACATCTGCATTTATTAGGTATAGGTTAGGAAGGGTAGTGAGTGAGGTCATCTTAAGGATAGTGGTAGGGCCAACACAATCATGTGAGTAATAAACAAGGGCACCATCCCCATTAGGTCACCGAGGCAAGGAGTGACGGTCACTGAGGCAAGAAGTGACCTAATGGGGATGGGCAGTGTGCAGCAGGAAGGGTGCAGTGTGCAACGTCTCTTATCTAGGGGCAGGCAACTTCTAAGGTTTTCTATAGGAGGATGTTTTGAGTCAGCACAGTAGCAAGAGAGCTGGAAGGGTATACAGCCAACAAGGCGCGATTATACTGGAGGGGTTTTAAGCCCTCAGAGGTTCATGGATTGCCGGCCTGAGGCCAGCTTTCCACAAGAACTGGACACAAGATACTACAACTGCCTTACAAGAGGAGTGACTCTTGCTCCAAGCCTGCCATACAGTGGATATCCTTACGATACTGAATGCTGCTGCCGGGGCCGGCCTGCCATGTAGCACATGCCCTTTCAGGCAGGGGCACTACTGCCTGGGCCGTTGATTCTTGTCCTGGTGTGGCTGATTTTTCCCTAGTTCATGCTCTGTACCGTGTCTGCTCTTGACACTCCTCTGACTACAAACTAAGATATGATCATATAAAAGGATTATATAAAAGGAAATAAATGAGCAGTAAGTTATTCTTCAGGGACTAATTGTGCCAGGGGTCTGCTTAGCGCCCTTCCTCGGTGCCCAGAAGGGGGGTCACCCACACATTTGATAGCAAATATATCACGGAGGCTAACATTAGAACCCACCCTGATTGCTTACATTGGGGTAAAAGCATTCTTGGAGAGTGTTGCTGAACAGTAGATTGGAACATATGAGTTTACCAAGTGACTTACAGAGCTTGGAATGTCAGCAGTGCACACAGCTGCTCAGATGCCCTCGTAAGTACAGAGGAAGGCTGATGTCACCTCCTGAGGAGTTTGAACCAATGAGCTAACGACTGGGGTCAGCTAACAATTTGACCTAATCCTCAAAGTCATTGCAAGCCACCTAGAAATAAAATGGCCTTTTGTTTGTCATATTTCTATGAGCTTCAAGGGTGAGCTGTCTAAATCAGTACAGATAGTCACCTGTATGAGTAAGCACAGGGGCACGGCTTCCAGTTCAGTGAAGTCACACTCTCCCATGTTACATGTTGGAGACTGGTACCTCCCGGGAACAATCATCCTGCTTAGCACTGGACTTCTCCATGGACATAGACTGGATACAGATTTTTCCAAAATTATCTGATAATAAGACACTGAAAAACTGATTTGCTATTGGCAACCAGTAGATGATTGATTACATACCCACAATGACCCAGGACTATGGACCCATAGACCATGATAAATGTGACCTGTCTTCAATGAATTCTTATTCTAAAAGAGCAAGCATCCAAATGCACAGCATGGGAACTGCAGCAAAATTCCATGAGCAAGGTCTTGGACGCTACAAGGGTGAGGAGGTATTTCATGCTCAACACCAGTGGGTTTCTTTGCTTCTGGAATTAGGACAGATTGCTGGGCTCTGAGGCACTCTCAAGAAGCCTCCTAATTCATGCCCCCAGATTCTAAACCAAAACCCGTAAAGTAACCATAGCTCATATGGCTTTTTGAGGTCCTTCTAGGGCCTTTAAACACTGACTCATGTGTCTTGCTGCATTTTTGGGTAGGAATTCCGACACTCATTTCCTCACCCTGCAGGAGAAACTGCTTGTTATTTGCCCTTCCCAAATCTCTGTGGGCTTGGAGAGAACCAAGTGTATGTCCAGATATCTCAGGAGAACTGGGTCAAATGAGGGACCAAGACTCTT